TCCTAGTCCTAGTCCTAGTCCTAGTGTCCTAGTCCTAGTCCTAGTCCTAGTCACTAGTCGGTCCTAGTCCTAGTCACTAGTCACTAGTCACTAGTCACTAGTCACTAGTCGTCTTAGTCACTCTAGTCACTCACAAAAGGCAGACTCTCTACACTCTGCTATTCTATACCATTCTATTCTCTAGTATTGGCTGTCAGACCATGACTACGACTACGACAAAGGACTATGACTATGACGATGTCTGTGGATATTTTTGCATCTAGTCTAGTCACTCCAGTCTAGCTTGGCAGCTTAGCAACGAATTGGGCGGCCTGTTTCGGTTCTGGGTTATAGATTCTAGATTTTTAAAATTAGTTTTATTCTAAATTCTAGATTCTTATTTCTAGGACTCTAGTTATTGATCCCAGGTAGCAGTGTTTATCTACTAGTCGAGATTCTAGAAATTCTAGACTCTAGAGTCCTCCAGTCCTAGACTGCAGATTGTAGATACTTGTAGATTGCAGATGCGTGCACTTTAAAGTCAGTGTGCAGCCTAGCGGCGCCTAGCGGGCCTAGCGTAGAGTCAGTGTAGTGTAGAGTCTAGAGTCGTGTAGAGTGTAGAGTGTAGACTCAGTGTAGACTCTAGGAGTAGAGCCAGTAGAGTTCACAATTACATAAAGTGTAAAGTCGTAGAGTGGGTAGTGACTAGTGAGTTAATTGTGATTAGTGACTAGTGACTAGTGACCTGGAGTTACTGGAGGTGTAGGCGCAGAGACGTTGAGTCACGGGTAACAAGTGACTGTGACTAAGGCTACTAGCTGGACTAGTGCCTAGTGACGAGTGACTAGACTTAGTGACTAGTGATTAATGACTAGTGACTAGCAGTGAAACACAGTTGCAGTGTAACGACTTAGATTCGTTAGATGCAAATAGATATGTACAGAGAGAGACATGTCTGCGGTAACTGCCCGCTAGTTAGTTACGGTTAGTTAGGTTAGGTTAGACGGTTAGCCGCTAGTTAGTTAAGTTAGTTACCGGTCTTGCCTTGCTTCCCGACATGTGCGGCCTTGGCACACTGCTGCGAATCGATTGAGTGTGACGTCATATATCATAGTTGCCGAAGGCTTCCGGCTAGGGCGCTAGGCTAGGCAGCCCGGGTCAGGTTTCACTGGTGAGCCTGGGGGCCTGATGGGTGTGCGCACAGAAAGAGTTTGGAAAGACACGTCG